GTAGCAATGACAGTACCTAGTGCCCGCCCACACTTACTCGTCAGTAAGGTAGCATCGAAGGCAACTAGTACTCGCCCACAACACATAACTTTGTACGGTAGCATGACAGTATAAGGCACTAGTTCATAACCTGCCCCCCACTAGGTCTACCCATGAAACCTCTCGATACCAATGACATCAATGTCAAAAATGATCATTACCAAAAGCACTACGGGGACCAACATTTTGTGAGAGTTGAGATATGGTCCAAAGATGTCTGGCCGGACCATCCTGGCCAATCCCAAAACTTTGACAACAATGCTATAGGTACCGCTATGCTTAAGGCCCCAAATCCTCAATACAGCAAAACCAACATCTCCAATGTCTCAAAATATCCCTATTAACAACATTAATCAGGAATCCAAAACCTGACAAGCAAATCAACGCCTACAGAAATCAAAACAAACGTCACAATAAGACATTTCATCGAAAGTCCTTCATATCTCCCTGAAACAGATCAACTACAAGACTACACCGTAATCAAACATCAGATCCGCATCCCTATCATTGATAACTAAATCCTCAAAATACAAATCCACCAAGTGGCACACACATCAAAATGCAAACAACCAAGGTCACAAAATAAATCTCTCAAAATCGTACTTAGAAACACCAAGTTAAATCAAAATTCCTCAATTTCTATCGATCCATAAACAACCACTGGAACTACGATTCCTCAAGACCATGCCTAGTTATAACTAGGACGAGAAGACTCCACAGACAAGCCATATCCAACAACAATCCTCCAAAACTTTTCCTAAAAATTAACCACATCCAGGTCTCCAAAACGGAAACAAGTCTCCAAAAGACATTCTCAAAAGAGCATCGAGCTCACCTCACAATCAAACAAATCCTCAATGATATGGACACGAGTTCCTATAGAATGATCTCACACCAATCAACTCACTCTGAGCACTACAACTCTGTCAACAACTACGGCAGAAACTCCCCAAGGGAAGACACAAAAGAAAGGGAACTACCAGTCCTAAAAAGGACAACACCATGACTCCATCTCTAAAATGAAAGACAACAAGGTCAAAGACTTCACCCCCTACATGGAAGTAAGTCGACCAAAATCCATCAAATCCTCACCAAGGACTTAAGACAACGATAGTGATCCTCACGGACCAACCAACCCCAAAACTGTGCACAATGCAACGAAGAGAAGAGACTCATTCCTTGTGAAGTCCCTAACACGAACCAACACAAAACCCTTGTGGAAACCCGCATACACACTACGTGGGACCGAGGGAAACGAATGGGAAAACTAAACCTGGAAGTTATGCATATGACAAGGAAATGCAACTACCAAGAAGAAAATCTACTCACATAGATAAAAATCAAAGGTACATGCAACACGTCTCCACGTAAGCACAAAAACATCTCACAAAAGTACAATAACAACATGGCATCTCTAAGTATATAAAGAAGGCATGCTAATGCCACACAACAAGAAGGCAAATGTGGATAGACCTCCACCTACTCATGCATCAGAATAACATAAATCATACTACTAACATGGTAGTGAACGAAACTGCATAAGACAAAATGATGCAACAATGAACCCTATAGACATCGTGTCCTAGAGTGTCTAGGTAAAATGAAGGACGATTCCTAGTCATAAACTGTCTCCAAAACCAATGCGACAACAACTTGTCTCCAAACAAACGTGAGCCCTTACCACAATGGTAAGACTCTAACAATCTAACTCCGAATCTAGAGGTGACACTACAAGTGACACTAACAGTGCAGTGCTCTCACTACCCGTAACATCAATCAATCGACTTGATCCCAAAAGCGTCATTACGCAAGAACTCCTCAAGGAAAATGGCAACTACAGCCATACCAATAACAACTAAATCAATCACCACGACTGATCCCCAAAACAACTATCATCATCATCGATAAAAAGGACAACGCCTATCAAAACAAAACCAACACTGATTCCATCTGAACTGCGCTTGTTGCTAGCCAGCACGATAGCATGATAGTGCCATGCACCCACCCACAAACGTACTCGCCCACGAAAAATGCAAGTTCCAGAGGAATCATCCTGGACAATCAAGGATCCTAAGAGGTCCATAACCTCATAATGGCCCAAAACCAACAAATCCACCGTTACGGTAACACCAAATAACTCATCTCAGAAGAGCCTAAACAAAAGGTGACCATCCACCTACCTTAAAACCAATACTAGGTCGACAACAACCTAAACCACCACAAAAGTGTGACTACAATCACCATCAACCTCAACTCGTGCCTCAATGACCAAACCCGTGTCATGCCAAATATGCAACATAATTATGCATATACAAATCTAATCTAGCATACATCATATGTCATGCTCTTTACGACAAATTTAAATCATGCTAAACAAATAGCATACCACATGTAGCACGTAAGCACATAAACATGTTATCAAACCAAAACATGTTATCATAAAGCATATAAGCACATAAAGCATGGCAACATAAGCATGATATGCACCCAAAATTCGTCGTCCAAGGTATTCAAACCAAGGAACTCTGATACCACCTGTGACGACCCTAGATTTTTTAACCAAGTGTGTCCTGTGATGACCCGAACCGGATCCGAGATGCGGAAGAAAAAAAATAAAACAATGGTCTCAAGAGACACAACACATCCCTAAGACGCCAATGTGACACTCAATGAGGTCACGGAACCCAAGGGAAACAAATGCGGAAGCAACATTTCAAAAAACGGACAAGAATGGACCTAGGGGTAAAAACGTCATTTTTAGCTTAAAAGTGGGTGCCACCGAGCACACCATTGGAAAGACAACGAAAAATTAATAAACTTAGACTCAAAAATTGATTGATTCGGAGTCCGGATGAAGAAGATATTCCTAATCGGTTAAATGGTTTTGGGTTGATTTTTTGACCGTTTTGCCCCTGTTTCTTCCGTTAGACATATCTTCTTCATCCGAACTCCGAATCAAGCGATTTTTGAGTCTAAGTTTATTAATTTTTCGTTGTCTTTCCAATGGTGTGCTTGGTGGTACCCACTTTTAAGCTAGAAATGATGTTTTTACCCCTAGGTCCATTCTTGTCCGTTTTTTGAAATGTTGCTTCTGCATTTGTTTCCCTTGGGTTCCGTGACCTCATTGAGTGTCACATTGGCATCTTAGGGATGTGTTGTGTCTCTTGAGACCATTGTTTTATTTTTTTTCTTCCGCATCTCGGATCCGGTTCGGGTCATCACAAGATACACTGGGTTGAAAAATCCAGGGTCGTCACAGTAGAGCACCATTTGTAATTAGAGAGGATATTAGAGCATTTCTAATGCAAAATGCTATATTTTTATGTCAAATTTACATTTTGAGAGGAACTATAGTGTCAAGATATTATATTTTTGCAATTATGCTCCAACATCCAAAATGTTATTTTTTTGACACAACAATCATTCCATATTTTGAGAGCACATTGGAGTGTCTTATTTTCATTTTAGCAACTTTTGACAATTTCAAAATATGAGAGGTCTTTTGAGAGAGTCCATTGGAGTGCCTATTTTCATTCGATTGCTATATTTTGAGTTTGAGAAGCCATTTGAGAGCTACTATATTTGATATTACATTTGAGAATTTCAAAATATGAGAGGTCTTTTGAGAGGCGATTGGAGTTTCTTATTTTCATCCACCTGTTTTATTTTAAGTTTGAGAGCCCATTTGGGAGGTCATTGGAAATGCTCCTAGTAAGTTACTAGGAAGGCCAATTCCCAGCAAACCATGTTGAGAATCTTTGCAAAATACGAAACTCTATATACACAAGGCCCTTTCAAATACATAGTCCTTTATACAAGAGGTCCTTTTAAATATGCGGCCAATGTCTTAAATTTGAGGCCACCCTGAATGGATCCAAGACATGAAAATTTTGATTTTTTGAAAAAGTTTTATTAGCTTAAAATAATGGCATTTCTTTTATGATAACTTGATAACTTTATTATTATTATTATATGTTATAATTTATAAAAAAATTCATGCACGCATTTATCTATACGACCTATGGGACTCAAGCCAACTCGACCCTTAAGCGAGTTAAGCGGTTGCCTCATGCCCCAGCTAATAGGAAGGTTTCAATTTTTTATTTTTTTTATTTCTTTATATTATATTATTCCTATTTTTTTTTTCTTCCTATTATCAGACTCTAGCTAAATAGAAAGGTGTCAAAATTTTTATTTCCTTATATTATAACTTTCAAATAAATTTTTTTTATTTTATATTATAACCTTCTTAAAATTTTTAGTTCCTTATTGCCCAACAAAAAGGCTCCAAATTTTTTTATTTCCTTATTAACTTCTTTAATTTTTTTTATTTGTATGTATTATTAGACACTGACCAACAAAGATTTAACAAGGGCCAAATGAATTCTATCTTTATCTTAACTCTCTCTCTCTCTCTCTCTCTCTCTCTCACAGCTTCACCACATTCACTTTTGGGAATTTGTAAAATTTTTCATATTCTTCTTTTAACTTTTATCTTATTTGTTTGTTTATTTTTTTTTCTTTTTATTTCTTATACATTTTTACCCCTTTTTCATTAAGTATAAGTTGTATAACTTTAAGATGAATTATATGATAAGAAAGATTAATTGAATTGACTATATATTAGATATTAAAAAGTCACTTTTATATTTTTTGGTTAAGGCCACAAATTAGATTGAAGGTCACAAATTAGATTGAGCCGCCCCAGGGACTCCAACCCTATCCTAGCATTTCTTTTGCCAGATAGAGAAAATACAATGATTTTAAACATAGAATTATATATATATATATATATATAAATTTTGTTGAAAAAATTTCATACGTCCTTTCATTCTGTTACTGTCGTTTTTATTATTAATTTTCATAGGAATCTTACAAAATTTGAAAAAAAAAAAAAAAAATACTAATTCCTTATCAGTTAAAATTATTTACTACAGTAGTATTTATGTATTTTTTTTTCCTCCTGTTTTAAAAGGAATACTACATTTGATTAGGAAGATTCATTGACCCAATTACATCGTCGAGGGGAGAGAAATTTACATCGTTGATCGGCGGTGATCGGCCATCAACGACGGACCTCAGAAGATGATTGTATGCGTAGCCGTAGTCGGCCATCAGGTAAAGCATTCTTTATCTGTTTCTCATCTATGCACACATATATCAGTATGTGTATATGTGTGTGCGCATTGAAATCTGACGAATCCGTACCATTTCCGGCGAACAGAACAATCCTCTGTACATACAGAGCTTCACGGAAGGAGATGATGCCCTAAAACTTCATCACATAGTACACTGCTCTCTAGATGTCGTAGACGAAAGAGGTTCTCTCTCTTTCTCTTTCTTTATATACATAATTATATAAATATATATTTTGTTATCTTAGATTGTTTGATTTGGCTGATTTATTTTTCGTATGGTACCAAATTAATTGTGGAATTGTGATTAGGGTTTGGGATTTTGGATCAGTTGATTTAATTGTATATTTTCAAAAAAAATATAGATTTTCTGTTACAATTATACTTTATAAAAACATCCGTTTGTTTTATTTGCAATTAGAACCCTGATCGGAATGAAAGTTGCATTTCAAGCTTTTCAGTGAAACAATTGTCTACCTACTCTATCTTAGGTTGCCTTTTGTGTTTTATCCCTCATTTGTTCAAGAATTGATTCAATTTCAAATCTACTATCCTTCACTCAGAACCTTAAACTGAATGAAAGAGTCACATTTTCTACTCTCAGTGATGGGGATTGCTTTTCATAGATTTATCCATGTTAGAATGAGCTTGAGTTGGTATAGAAGAGAGGAACTCTTTATGATTTGTATTTAATCTTTGAACAGAGATTTTTAACCAACAGGCCATTAGGTTTTCTGATGAAGCACCATGTTGCTAGTGAGGAGGGTGGGCTCTCGTTCCTCAAGATTGAGCTTATACGGTTATACCCAGATCAGTCTGCTCTCAGACTTGGAGGAATTTTCTACTGTTTTTGTCAGGGTTATTAAAAACAACGTAGTTCTAATTAAAACAAGCATATCAAGAGTCAAGTTCTTTTTTTTGGTACATTAAAGAATGAACTGGAAACCAAATTCATAATAACAGACTATGTTACATGAACTCGGGTACGTGTGTCGTGGGAGGTGTCAAATCTCCAAACAAAAGGACACATAGACACTACTAAATATTCATTTTATTTAATTAGTTTATTATATTTTATAGAGTAAAGTAATGTTTTTTTTTATTTTTTTATTTATCTAATATGGTATTCAATATAGGCTTTTAACTCATTTTAAAGTAATAGTATAATATAATTGAATGATTGGATATGCTTTTAAGTACATGTTCAACAAAAAGTGTCGGACACATATCTCATACCCATAACCAAGCAAAATGTGTCCGAAACGGGTACTTCACTTGTTTTGAAGAGTTGATGTAACATAGATAATAGATTATTAACAACCATGTAATCCAAAAGCTTAAGTTGTTAGAGTGGGTGTAACTATAATATTTAATCCTTCAACACGCCCCCTCGCACGTGGTCTTCTTTTGGTCCAACATGTGTTTCAATTTTCAAATATCAAGGTAGTGGTGAGATTTGAACTCGATACTTTTGGTTCTGGTACCGTATCAATAACCATCTACTCCAAAAGCTTAAGCTATTATAGAGTGTGTAACTTTAATATTTAATCCTTCAACACAGATAAACTGGAAGGGACCAAATCAGTGATCTGGGTGCAGTTCTTCATTAAAAAAGTTAGTAGTGGGCATCTGATTTAAAGTAGGGTACACAATGTAGTAAAAGAAGATTAGTAATCAGTTAAAAATAAAACATAATTCTGAACTTGGGATCTACTTGGAAAGGGAAGACTAATCAGGGGCCAGTGAGAACTTGGCTTTCCTTTTGATTGGTGGTCGGGACGGGTTCCATGCTTGCATCTAAGATTCCAAGTACAAAATACAAACACATGGCTCCTGCAGGGGTATAGTGCCAAACACCATTGATACTACATGACCAATAGTAATATGTGGATACAGCTAAATTGCTAATAGGATTTGTGTAAGCCAGCCCTGACTGGTTAAGGTATATGACCTTTTCGGAATGAGTTATATGTGCATATAGATATAGATAATATTTTTGGTACACTGAGAATTTATATATTTCATGTGAATCAGATTTTAATGGCCATTTTGTTTTTCATACGTATTCAGAAGAATTAAGGAAGCAAACTCTTTTCCAATTTGGAGAATCATGCTATTTGTTATTAATTATATCAATTGGTTCCGTGGTAATTTACTTATCATTGTTGAATATTATGTAGTCGTTAGAAACTTTAGGGTGCATTTCTATTAACCTGTTCAGTTACATCTTTCCCATCTCCATTGTAAGGAGGTTAGAGAAGCTTCAGTGGAATTTCTTGTGGGGTGGTATAGGCGATGTGTTCAAATACCACCTTGTGAATTGGAAGCAAGTTTGTGGGCCTATTTAGCTAGGCTTGTTGGGCATTAGAAGATTGGAGAAGTTCAACGAGGCCTTGTTGGGGAAGTGGCTGTGGAGGTTTGGGATGGATAGACCCAAGTTGTGGAGAAGGGTCATTGCTAGCAAGATTGGGTAGTGCAGGGGCAAGTGGTGTCCTTTTGAGGTGAGGCAGCCAACTGGGGTGGGTGTTTGGGAGGCCGTCCGAAAGGTTGGGACGAATTATCCAAACACATTCGTTTCAGGGTGAAGAGTGGGAGGGGGGTCGCCTTTTGGAAGGATGTATGGTGTGGGGATCACTCATTAGAATCCATCTTTTTTGCTTCTACATCAGGACAATGAGGAGTCGGTGGCTGACTACTATTGCCTTGATTGTTTTGGGACGTTCAGTTTATGAGGCCATTCCAGGATTGGGAATGGGGAGACATCGGGGAGCTTCTGGCCATATTGTAGTGTTGGTTGGAGTCCAGTCATGGGATCTTTGCGGTGCACTCTTTCTACAGGAGCCTAACGGATGTTCATGGTCCTTCCTTTCCTTGGAAGGTAGTGTGGCGCACCAAGGCTCCGCTCAAGGTGGCCTTTTTTGGTTGGACAGTTGTCCTAGGGAGGATTTTGACTATAGATAATTAGAGGAAGGGGGGTCAAATTATAGTCAATTGATGTTGCATGTGTAAGAAAGATGAAGAGTCGGTTTGTCATCTTCTCTTGCAATGTCTGGTAGCTCTAGATTGTTGGGCTATGCTTTTTGCCCTTTTTGGCGTTGTTTGGGTTAATGCCCAAGTCCCCGCAAAGCATGCTTGAGGCTTGGAGAGGGTGTGCAGTGAGGAGGCAGATCCGAGATGCTTGGAGGGTAGCGCCCCTTTGCCTTTGATGGGTGCTGTAGTGAGAGAGGAACCGGTGGTCCTTTGATGGAGTTGAGGTTTCGGCTTGGGTGCTCAAGTTCTCTATTCTTTTACTTTTTTATATTTATATTTTTGGGTCCAGGGATGGAATCGTAAATCAGTGGGGGATATAGTTTCTTTTTGTGGATACTTTGATTGTATAGCAGACCCTCTTCATCTAGCTTTTGTTCCTGGGCTGCGCTCCCCTTTTGAGCGCTCTTTAATAAAATCTCACTTATCCAAGATAATAATAATAATAATAAAAACAAAATTATAGGCGTCCTAGTAAACAGAAATGCTTCCATATTAGTTTCTTTTAAGTAAACTCTCTCCAGAGTATCTTTTGTTTGGCATTTTTCGGAGGGTTGAACTGAATATTTGATTCTTCTAGATATATCTGTTGTTGTATGACTGCTAAAATTTCCTTCATGGTTTAAAAAGGATTCTTGCTTTCTCCAGTTATTTGAAATTCAGTATGAGAGCTCTGTTCACCTCTGGCCTATAAGCTTCTGGTGAGCATATTGTATAGAGTCTTATAATTTTCCTGAGTAGTTGGAATTAACACCAAGTTGAGTTGAGTGATCGTCTATGCAGATATAAGTTTCACATGAAAATAATATATAGGAGACCGTAAAGCTGCCAAGGGGAGAAAACAAAAGAAAAGAAAAGAAAAAAAAGCATGCTCGCTTTTGACAAGATCCCGAGCCATAATATATATATATATATATTATGGCTCGGGATCTTGTCAAAAGCGAGCATGCTTTTTTTTCTTTTCTTTTCTTTTGTTTTCTCCCCTCGTCAGCTCTGCGGTCTGCAAATACTGCTTTCCATATCTTCATGTTGTTTAGATGATATATATATTATGACTCGGGATCTTGTCAAAAGCGAGCATGCTTTTTTTTCTTTTCTTTTCTTTTGTTTTCTCCCCTCGTCAGCTTTACGGTCTCCAAATACTCTGCTTTCCATATCTTTATGTTGTTTAGATGATATGTACAGTTTCTACCTCCAATTTGCTATTGTTTTTCGTTTTTTTTTTTTTTTTTGAACTGTTGGAATTATTATTCTGAACTAGTTTTTAAAATTTTTAATGATATTAATGTAGTTGAATTTTAGGATATCAGAGCAGCATCTGCTTGAACTTGACACCTGGTTTGTTATGTTATAGTGAACAATCCGAAAAAATCTGGACCGACGCTAAATGAGACATTTCTTGGTCTGCTTTATCCAACTGAAAATTACAAAGTGTAAGCATTCTTCAGTTGAATAAGATGTCTGGTTGGCTATTGAACTTACAGATGGCAAGCTCTTTTTCAATTTCATCTTATTGGTTTTTTTGTATGTGTATATAGACAATCTGTCTCTTATTGTACACTATCTGCAGGTATGGTTATTTGACCAACACGAAGGTGAAGTTTATCCTGGTGACAACAGATCTTGATGTCCGAGATGCAGATGTGAGAAATGTGAGTACTATTGTACATAGGTGAAGTTTCATCTTTGTAGCTTGCAGAAGCTATAGTAATAGTACACACACTCACGCATGGTGTACGAAATAAATCTATACCATACTGAATTAATACTCTCATCGTTTAGTTTTTATATTGTTTGTCAGTTGTAATAGATATGACTGGGATTCTGCAATATCATTTAGAGTGTCTATATGGCATTAACAAGGAAAAAGCAATTAGCTATTGTGGAATGTTCTTTTGTCTGTCTGCATTTGGAGTTAAAGAAGTTATATTTCCTAGGTAAGATATATGGTGCAGATTGGCTTCTTGCAGCAAGTATTTCAGGGATATAAATGTTTCTAACTTCTAAAAGAAATTCGATTAGCCTAAATTTTTTGTATTGTAACCAACTGAAATCTATTATAGTCTATGAATCAACTCTGCATATAGTTTTCCAGGTAATTGAAATTAGGGTGGGCTTTAACTAGCATTTACATTTGACTAAGTATTTTCATCACAAGTAATCTAAGGCAGAACTGAAATATGCAGACTGGTTGATATATTAGGTTGGTGTATTTAATGAATTCTTGCGTTATTATATACACAAGTACATGTTATCCTTGAAATTTTGTACGTGATTTGCTTGCTTTTGCCGATGTTATTTGTTCTGTTAATTTGTCTCTCAAGTGGATGCTGTTATTTATGTTAATCTCTCTGTCATGTGGATGCTGTTATTTATTCTGTTGACGTCTCTCTTATATGACTCGTCTTGAATATAGACTTTATGATATGGCCTCTAACTTCTCCTTATGTTTGCTGGAACGACTTGAATAGTTTTTCAGGAGGTTCCACTCTGCATACGTGGATGCAGTTTCCAACCCGTTTCATGTGCCTGGTAAAAAGATAACCTCCAGAACTTTCGCTGAAAGGGTTAGTGCTATTGTCAAGTCATTCGGGTTTAGTTCAGCTGGATGAAAGACTGCTGGCGTGTGTAGGACTGAAAATTCTCAAATCATCTATAAAACCGGTGGGTTTGTTCACTTCCTTGTTTCTTGTCACTCTGTACCTTGATTCATTTCAGCTATGGGTTGGAGGTAATTTAGCTTTTAATCAAATTTCATTCCCAAGAAAACATATATACAAGTGACTTTGTAACATTTACTGAAGTTATTGTGATTTTTCTTTTCCCATTCCTGATGGAGATGATTTCTTTTCTTAAATCTTTTAAACTTTTATATTCATGGAAGATATAATCAAAAATTTGAGAACTGTTAATCTATCAACCTTTATTATCTATAAATTCCCATAATATTCTGAGACTGATACGATCGGCAGCTTGGTGTGACTTTCATGTTGAAAATATTATCACAAATTTGGAAATGTGTGGTTAGGGTTGAAGGTAATGTGTGGTACTGTGGTTAGAGAAGTGCTGCAAAAAATGAAGAGAGAGATGGGCTGATCATTGCTAATAAGGTCTGGCACCATTTGGGCCTTAGTTGTATCAGATACTTGTGTTTGGGCTAAACATAAATCATGTGGACTTAACTACTATTTAAATATCAGATTTTGAAATATAAATTCCAATATATATATATAGAGTATTTTTTAATATTACATCGGCAATAATCCAGCAAAAGGGGGATTATTCCGGGGCAGGCTCAATGGATAACGGGATGGAATAGCAGTTGGATGGTTAGGACACCCCATCTTTAGAGATAAAGGACGTGAACTTTTTGTACGCCGTATGCCTACCTTTTTTGAAACATTTCCGGTCGTTTTGGTAGCAGGAGACAGAATTGTTAGAGCCGATAGTTTGTTCACGAGTTTAATAAGCTGAGCTGTATTGTTCAAAACCGCATCATTTATTAAAGGAGCCTAAAAAATGAACTTGATTTTAGGTCATTTATTTAATGAACGAGTTCAATTCGAGTTCGAATTGTTTATCAACAGTTCGGTTCATTTGCAGCACTAAATTTGAGTATAAAAGAATAATGCATTGCCTATACTAAAAGGGTAACTACCAAATGTCTTGTAACTTAGTGGTATTTTTTCACGTTCTTCATCACTTTTTAGTAGGGGTGGCGAAATAGTTCTTAACTCGCCCATGTTTTAATGAATTTGGGTAAACCATATTAGTTATGGGTAAAAAATGGATTGGGTCAACTTATACCACTTAATTAGTGGGTCAAAACGGGTTGAATATGGGCTACCCAAATTCAACCCGTACCCTATAAAAGGGGGCCAAAAATTGTGGGAAATTGACAGGCAATCAGAAGCAAATAATTATTGTATAAAGTTTTCTGTAGCATCAGAAGGTTATATACCACTCACTCTGCAAATAATTAAGATCAAAGGGTATGACCAGCATAGAACTATGCTTAGCTTGGTTCATCCCTTTCAATACTCTCATTCAAAGTCACAGACTCACAGTGGTGGAACGGATGACATTATATTTTCTTTTTTGATTACCATGGACAATTAGAGAAATATATATATACAGCTGTCATGTTTTGACATATGTCATCATCAACTTTAAAGCATGATACAATTTTATCTCTCTAATTCTACTCCACACAAAGTTGTGTGAGACGGAAAAGTTGCGATAACATGAACTTGATGAAATTGTTTGTTTGAAACGTAAAATTTCAATTTATATATATAAATAAGAATAATCAAGAGCAACCCATAGTTAGCATAGCTAACCACCAGTACAAATCAGGCCATAGAAGACCCAAGGATATCAAAAGAAATGAGCTTCACTGGCCAACATCACATAGCAGTGCAAACATGGAGGATAACTCCTCAAATACGATGATCAGGGGGTTTCGTCGGCGGACGAATAATTGACGGAGAGAGTTCCCATTCTTCAATTATGCGCCTAGCATTGGGGGAGTCGGTGATGGGTGAGGACATTAGTTTCAGTCTGATCGTCCCCAATGTTTGATGGAACAACGAGTTTTGAGCAAGTGATTTCTTCTTGAAAATTCTCCCGTGTTACACGCTCAATTCATATGTAGTGATGCTAGAGCCATTTTAGATATGGAGTCGCAGTAGAATCCAGAGTTGCCTCGCCAGTGATGAGTTGCCCAGGTTATTAAGTTCATCCAAGATGATGGCTGAATATAAAACCCACAACGTGCTTGAAGGAAGAACCGCATGGGCTTAGTAACCTGGGCCGTTAAGACAACTACTACAAGAAATTTTTTTAAAAATATTGTAAGGAACAAAAGAACTTTAATAATAAATGATATTTTCATAAAAAATTGTTCATACAGCTGTTTTGATTTTTTTTTTTTCTTCGTAAATACTTTTCTTTAATTATTATCAAGATAACATATTAAAAGTTGAAAAACTTCTAGGAAGACTCATTTGTACTCTTAATTTTTAAATTTTAAAAAATAAAATTGTGAATTTATATAATTGGTATGATTAATGATCATAGTTTTTTTTTTTTTTCCTTCTTTTTTTTTTTTTTTTTTTTTTTTTTTTTTGTTACTGGTTTTTGCAGACGAAAGACAATTTTAAAAAATTTGTGGTGAACCAACATTCAATTCAATAAGTCTACCATATTAATAAAAGATAGGAATAATTTCATTGACACCCCTTAGGTTTGGTCAAATATCACATTTAAATATTTTTCGAAAATAACTATTACTTACATTATAAACTTTTGCTCCGTTTTTCACTCACACTCCTACGGTTACCTCTCAGAAGTATCAGACAACTTTTTTTTATATGAAAAGACATATTTACCCTTTGACTAAATAAACTGACATTTTTACCTTTTTTTTTTTTTTTGGAATTTGACATTTTTTTCCTTATTGTTCCATTAGAATTAATTAAGGAAAGTAACCTCATTAGCTCTAAAATAATAAAAAAGTAGACCTCTAATTGAAGAGTAAAAATGTTGTTGTGTAATTAGTAATTCCTTTATAATTGCTGATTTGAAGTGTAAAAATGCAAGTGAATTGTAATACTATTTTTAACATGTAATTACAAATTTATATTTAAACCTGTGATTGCTAAAGCCCATAAATGTGGAAAAAAATATCCTAATAAAGTCATTACATATAAATTTGAAAGCATCCCAATCGAGGAAAAAAAAAATCCCCTAAACAGAATGAAAATTATGGTTAATTAACCCTAATCTAGGAAAAAAAATCCGGATCAATTAACTCTTTAAATAGCCTAATTTGGGTTAATTAACCCTAATCAACTAGGAAAAAAAAAACCCTAATCTAGCAAAAACTCGCGAAAAAGGCCGATGGCTTAATTGACAGTTTTTTTTTTTTTTTTTTTTTTGCATGCAAAATATTGTGATATTATTGATAGATTATGCTTTTGCATCTGTCATTCTTAACTATACATAGTTGTTGTGTATAATTTTTTTTATCAATACAAATATTGTCTTACAATGGTGAGCAAAGGAATAAAAATATCCAAGGATATACCCATTTGCATATATAATATATATGTGTACCATAACCATTCAATCCCAAAATACTACTTTGCGATCCTTATTACCAAAACCTCATTTGACTTCACACGGATGACCTTGAAACCCAATTGGGCATTCACGAATCCAAGTAAAGCACCACCTAGATTGGAGCTTATTTAGAAGTAGGAAACCCCACATGTATTATCTGAATTTATGAACACCCACTTCTTTGAGAGAGAAACTTCCATGGCAAGAATAGGTCAAGAGAGAACCAATTAAAGAAGTGCAAGAACGTCAGTGAGTTTAGGTTCGTCAATTCACATAATTTCACCTCCTTGGGTTCATGGAAGCAATCCTAAAAAAACCCAATTTTATTTTGAAACTAAAAATTGACAAGATGGTTATGAAACAGGCAAAATCGTTAATGGGTTTGGCAGAAACTTAGAAAAATATTAGTATAGTGTTAGTTAGGAATCGAAGAATTTAGAAAGAAGATTTAATTATAACATCAAACAACGTCCTAGCCTATGCTCACAACATCAAACCTTCCTTATTAAGACTGACATAGGCTTGATCGATTAAAAAAGGTCTCTGAAAAGGCCTAAAATGGCGTTCATCGATACGAAGTTGGATGGAAGGTATATGGGTTTGATCGGTGATGTATGAGGATGGACTCTGGAACTATGAATCTAGGGTTTCATGGTGGTGTTGATCTATAGAGACATGGCAGTGTTGATCCGTAGAGAAGAGAGAAGAGAGGGCGTTGATCTAAAAATCGAGATGCAGCCAAAAATGTACTAGAGGAGAGAGAAAGAAAGGGTGTGTATGGGCGGAGTTGTGGTGATAGGTGGGTATGATAATGATGGGTATAATAGTCATTTGAGTAAGATGATATTTTGGAATAAATTGATTTTAAAAAATAGGGAGCAAAGTTGTCTTTTTTAAAGAAACTATAAGGGAAAAGGTAAAATGGACTTAAATAATAATTATTTTCGAAAGATGTTTGGGAGTGATATTTTGCCAAATTTAAGAGGGTGTCAGTGAAATTATCCCTAAAAAATAATTAGAGAATCAATAAATAAGTTTAGGGAGAGATTAAACAAACAACGATCTTTAATTTCCTTCATTTAAGAGATTTTACAAAAAAAAAAAAAAAAAATTAATGGTTGCAGAGTAATAGGATTTTTAGAAAAAGTTCAGGTATAAAATATAAATAAATCAAATCAAATTTAATAAGACATGCATGTATTGTAAATCAGAAAATAAAGAAAATTAATATCACAAGGCATATTATTAAAATGAATATATAAAATATATTAGCTTAAACCATTGTAATTCAAGTTACATTTGTATAGTTGCATAGCTGCATCAGCTTTGAGTTTGCTATTTTGCTCATTCTTTAAACATGCAACTAGATCCAGACTAGTGTTACCCATCAGGCCATGTTAAAAGAGAATTGATAATAGGCCTGTCAGAAAGTCGATAAATACGTTTGATTTGAATACATTTATTTGACAGTTCAAAATTTTGCAATGTAAAATAAATTATTTCCTTCTTTGTTTTTACTATATATTGTTTCAGGAAATATTGGAACGATCTCTTACTTCAAGAATCCCATAAGTTGTTGCCGCAATTAGTGATCTTCTAATTTTATCTCTAATTTTTTAGAAATCTAATTTTCCATGTTCCATGCAAAGATGTCTAGCAAATTAAAGTGCGTTGTCATGTTCCGATGAATAATTTAGTAAGGAT